TGATCGAACACTTCGTTCTGATACTTGTCCCAATCTGCCAATTCATATTTCCATCTAGGACGACAAGTGGTAACAATCATCGTGCACCTTCCAGGACAGTTGGGAAATGAGATTGTGTGAGGAAATGGACAGATCAAGAGCCGATGATTTACCGGATGAGGGATCAATTCTAGTGTGATGACCATCGTTAAGCAGAGTTAAACCCTGTTCGTCGATGAACTGTTCTAACATAAGTCCTCGGGAATTGTTAGAATTTCCACCCCAAAGAGAGTAGAGTGTCCGTTAAAATCACCTATTAAAAGAAAAAGTGATGTAATTATATCCATTATTTTAGTAAGTCGAGATTTAATTAGTTTATTGGATTGCGAAACAGGCGAAATATAAATGGAGACTAGTGTTACTTTGACTGGAAAATCAATTTCAATAGCTATTGCAAGAAGAGAAGAGGAGAGATCGATACGGCGATGAGGGATTTCAGAGTTGATTGCCAATGCTGTACCGGTTCTTTGAGGTTTATCGGGATTTTCTTTGATGTACAAATTGTATCCTTTAATGTAATTTGATGGAATGATGGATTCAGGGACATTGGTTTCTTGTAGGGCTATTGCTATGGGGTTGTATTGTGAAATGAGAATTTATAATTCAGAAAGTCTTCCTCGAAGACCCAGTAAATTCCACTGTAAGGCAAGAGTTAGGGGAGAAGATTGACTTGGGGAAATTTGACTAGCGGTTGATTGTTGTGGTGTATTGTGTTTCTTGTTGAAAATCAACATTCGAAAGCATTGTTATCGATGCGTAGCCATATTTCTGATCGATTGGTGATACAATTATTGAAATTGGACCAGGGGCAGCTGAGTTATTAACGTTCAAAATCTTTCTTAATTTGTTACATGTTCCATTTTCGGTTTTCACATAGTGTACCCCCATATAGAAATCAAAGACGTAGTCCTACGTCAAAAAACATTGTTCTGAAAAAAAAATGATCTTGATGACATACCCTAATACATATAGCGGACTGCGAACGCCACGACCCAACATTGAGCAGCTACGGGACGCCGGAGTTGCCCACGACTACGCGCAGCAGCTGGAAGTTACACTACCCACGGAAGAGCAGCTTGGCGCAGCATCTCTTGAAGATAACTGGAGGGACATCCGTTCCGCCATAGGTAATACTGCTGCAGCGGCACTAGGTACTGCAATCCCGGACCGAAGAAATGACTGGTTTGACGGCGAATGCAAACTGTTAGTAGAGGAGAAGAATGCAGCGCGGGCGAGAATGCTGCAACACCGCACAAGATTGAATGTGGAGCGATACAGACAAGCGCAGAACAGACAAAACTCGGTTTTCCGAAGGAAGAAGCGTCAGCAGGAAGACCGAGATCGCGAGGCGATGGAAAATCTGTACCGCGTAAACGACACTCGTAAATTCTATGAGAAGCTAAATAGTTCACGCAAAGGCTACGTGCCGCAAGCCGATATGTGCAAGGACTTGGACGGTAACCTTCTGACGAACGAGTGTGAGGTGATTGAGAGGTGGAAGCAGTACTATGACGAGTACCTCAACGGTGAAGCAGCAGAAAACGAAGGTGGCACGGCAACAGACCTTGGAGCACGCGCAGAAGACAACAGGCTACCGGCCCCTGATCTTCAAGAAGTTGAGGAGGAGATCGGTCGGCTGAAGAACAACAAATCAACTGGTGTAGATCAACTACCAAGTGAGCTATTAAAATACGGTGGTGATGCACTGGCTATAGCGCTGCACTGGGTAATTGCCAAGATTTGGGAGATATTACCGGAGGAGTGGATGGAAGGTGTCGTTTGCCCAATCTACATAAAGGGCGACACGTTGGATTGCTGCAACTACCGCGCGATCACACTGCTGAGCGCCGCCTACAAGGTACTCTCCCAAATTCTATGCCGCCGTCTGTTACCATTTGCAAGAGAGTTCGTGGGGCAATACCAGGCGGGATTCATGGGTGCCCGCGCTACCACGGACCAAACTTTCGCAATTCGGCAGATTCTGCAGAAATTCCGAGAATACAACGTGCCCACACATCATTTGTTCATCGATTTCAAATCCGCATACGACATAATCGATCGAGATCAGCTATGGCAGATTATGCACGAGTACGGATTTCCGGATAAACTGACGCGATTGGTCAAGGCGACGATGGATCGAGTGATGTGCGTTGTTCGAGTATCGGGGACACTCTCGAGTCGCTTTGAATCTCGAAGGGGGTTACGGCAGGGTGATGGACTTTCGTGTCTGCTGTTCAACATCGCGTTAGAAGGTGTGATCAGAAGAGCTGGGATAGACACGAGTGGCACGATATTCAGGAAGTCCATCCAGCTCCTTGGCTTCGCCGATGACATTGACATTATGGCACGGAACTTTGAGATGATGGCGGAAACGTACATGATGATGAAGGCTGAAGCTGGACTTGCCATCAACGCATCAAAGACAAAATACAAGAAAGGAAGAGGTTCTAGGGAAGACAATGTTAGCCTCCCACCCCGAGTTCAGATTGACGGTGACGAAATCGAGGTGGTCGATGAGTTCGTGTATTTGGGCTCACTGGTGACCGCCGAAAATGATACCAGCAGAGAAATTCAAAGACGCATTATGGCAGGGAATCGTGCCTACTTTGGACTCCGGAGGACGCTCCGGTCGAATAAAATACGCCGCCGCACGAAGTTGACTGTCTACAGGACACTGATTAGACCGGTGGTCCTCTACGGCCACGAGACCTGGACTATGCTCTTGGAGGACCAACGCGCCCTTTGTGTTTTTGAACGGAAGGTGTTGCGTACCATCTACGGTGGAGTGCAGATGGATGACGGAACGTGGAGGAGGCGAATGAACCACGAATTGCACCAGCTGCTGGGAGAACCATCCATCGTCCACATTGCAAAAATTGGGCAACTACGGTGGGCTGGGCACGTCGTAAGAATGCCGCACGATGAGCCAGTGAAAATGGTTCTAGAAAGCGACCCAACAGGAACAAGAAGAAGAGGCGCGCAGCGGGCAAGGTGGATCGACCAAGTAGAAGGTGACCTGCGGACCCTTCGCAGACTACGAGGCTGGCGAACTGTGACCATGGATCGAGTAGAGTGGAGACGACTTCTTCGGACAGCAGAGGACAACAAGCCCTTAGCCTGATTGGTCAGAAAGGTAAGGACTGTGAATTTTGGGTTTTTCTGGAATAGAAGAAATTGTATACTTCCTCTGAAATTTGAATGCATCAAGTTTGGCATATAATTAAAATGCAGTGTTTTAACGTGTCTATTGTCCATTTCAGAAAAGTTAGCATTTTTGATAAGCTTTCAAATAAATTTAAGTAAAACTCTTAAAAATGTCCAGTTTTCGAGTGGGGGAGAGGTAGCTCATCGATTCTTCCGGTTCGCCTCCTAGCATCGTGCTATAAGGTACCAGGCGATAACCAGGGTAGTTGATCGATAGCTCGATGACGTCATTTCGTTGGCGTCTGCAATGGGAAATTCTCATAGCAGTCGATGACGATGGGACGTTGTCGAGTTGTTGAATAGCAACTATCGTGGTAACTCACCGATTACCTGTCGATCTACCAAATTTGGAAAGACGTCTGCATTGAATTGTCTCATATAATAATATTCCGCCCACTATATCACAAGAAATTGCGAGTAGCTGAGTGGAATGGAGATAAGTTAAGCATTGGGTACAGGACCAAGTCTCTCCTGGGTGGTGCCAAAAGATGAGCGCAATAGAATCATCAAGTTGCCATAAGGCACGGAATGAGATTATTGCATGGCTGGGTAGTCACAGTCTGCCATTCGTTAGTCATTTCAGGTGGATTAGAACAGGTTTAGGTGGGCGTTGGCCAGATTTGGATTTTTCAGATGTGATCCTGGATAGGACCCTGTCATTGAACGTCGCGTGAAAGTGGAACTTAATGAAGGCCTAAGTACTTTTTCGTAGTTTTTAGTTTTCGGATTTGAAAGATCGTCGGTTACAGTGGCCTGCTTACTGAGCAGAAAAACGCGGTCCCAGGTCCTTACATATCAAAGAGATTTATGGTAAAATCGCTTGTGTATCGTGTGTTTTGCGAAACTCGTTGTTGTCGTTGGTTCCGGGTTTGAATGGATACACAAATTTGAGCAACAGTACTATGTGATATGAGGGGCTCGGTGGCCTTAGAGCAACCGTTTTTGCTTACAGAGCAGAACATCATGAGTCTAATCTCAGGCCAATCCACATTCAAGATTCGTCAATCGTTTTATTTGTTAATATGACTACATGGTAATAACAGCAACTCGGTGATTAAAAAGGTGCTCGTCTGCCTAGTGGCAAACGTTTTTGCTTACTGAGCAGAAGACCGTGGGTTTAGTCCCAAGCTCCTTCGCGTTATATGATCGTTAGGACATCAATTCAGCTTATCGTTTACCAAAACGAACCCTGCTGCAAACCCAACCCTCTTATCCAACATCCCAGTGATTCCTCGTGGAAGTGCAGAGGTGTTCTCGGCTTCCATCAAAGCGAGTGTCATGTCAACACAGTCCTTCCCATTCCTTTCTTGACCTGTGTTCGGGCGCGGCCGGCGCTGGTATTGCCTAATTTAAGATCACCAGTTTTTACACATTGAGGATGATTGCTAGTCCCAAGCATCGTCTATTGGTTCTCTGTGTAATTACAGCTGATCTGGCAGTAACAGAGTAGCAACCGTGGGCGGTCAATCAAGCTCAAGCTCAAGCTCAAGCTAAAAATGTCCAGTTTTCGATATTAAAGTTTCCATACGTTTTTCTTTTTCATTTTTTTTTTAAAGAAAATTTGTGATTTTTTCAGCGTTTATTTTATTATTTTTATTTTATTTCGATTAAATAAGCCGTTTTCGTGCTATGATTTATTGAAAAATATCGAATACGCCCCTTGGAAAAATTAGGCCTTAGTCAAAATGGCCGAATTCCAGCACAAAATTGGTTCATCACCCCAATTATACGAAGTTTCGTGGAATTCTGGGAGGTAAAATCTAAAATCTGTTTATTTTTTCGCTTTTTGACCTGGAACTGCTCCCTCGTGTTAACATCGGCATCGTTAAGTTTAATATGTGTTCACCTAAATAGCCTATATCTAGCGGTTAGCTATGAAAATCTGCCGATATTACTGCATCGTTAGGCTTCAGATCCTATCAGGCAGACGCAATTACACCCAACTCTGTGCTCATTATTGATTCGCCCTGTCAATGGGGCGGTCTGTCACGCAAATAGCATCACATTTGCCTATTCGGTTGATCGTCATCAAGTGCTTCGAGTGCTGTCGAAATATGTTAACAGTTCATTATAGTTTGATAACTCTAATTCTTCTAATGCTGATTCTAAGTGTCGTCGACTCTGGTCCCACGCAGAAACCGAAAGTGCGTAATGAGGTACATTTAAAATTCTGAAATGCGTTTCGAAAAGTGTTTCGAATAGCGATAATCGATCTTACTGCTCCACCTAGGGAAAGTCGGCGTACAAAATCCGCCTCACCAAAGCGATCTGCGTTGACCTTCCATACGAGATAGCATGGAACGTGACCTGCCGGCTGAGGCTGTTCCGCGATCAACCGTCGAAGATGCTATTCCGGATAGTAGTCGATCAGGTCGATCATCTTTTCCTCACATTTGCCATGTTCTACAAGTATCACCAAACCTATCAACCCCTGCTGATGGAGGTCACCTTCGACGTGTGCAGTTATTTGAGAAAGTTCAACAGCATGTCGGTCTCGTCTGTCGCGAGTATTGGTCCGTCAATGGATCTGGATCAGACGGCCCTGTTTATCCTGAACATTTTGGAAAAGAACAACCCGTCGGCTATACGTAGCGGTTGCCCGTACAGAGTGAGTCAATCTGTCAATCTGCTCCAAGCTAGTTTTGTATATATTTGCAAATGTTCTGCAGGGTGTCATCGCTTTCGAAAATTTCTATATTGACGAGTCCATGGCGCCGCAGTTCTTACCCGCAGGAGAGTACCGGCTGGACATGCGCTACTTCAACGAGAAGAATCAAACCGTTATGCACTCGCAGGTGTTTGGATCGGTTCGTGCGGTCGGTATAGTAGATTTGTCGATGGGATAGATTTTGATTCCGAAGCTCCGGAGTTGCGAAGTTGACTTGTGAGCTCTTGTGAGTAATAAAAAAGACAAGGTACCATGCAAAAAAAATTACTTTCATTCCTTGGATTTTGCGTGAAGTTAGAATAGAAGAACAATGTTTACGTTTGCCGTTTGCACAAACATGTCTGATTTGGATCGCTCTTTCAATTGAGTAGCGTCTAATAGCTAACCGGTAACATCACGTGTTACATACACACATTTGCACTACGGTACCAGACCAAATACTTCAGACAATCTATATGAACTACGCAGGTAGATATGAGGAAAAACGTTATGCATGTTCTATATAAATTGTATAAAAGTATGTATGGAATGGCTTTTAAAAACTTTTGAAATGTTTGCCTCCCTGCCTAGCCAAATAAGGAGCCGCTAAAGGTGGTAATATTAATTCCGTTTATGAGTTTAACCATAGTCTTGACACCATGATTTAAGGGATCAAAGTAGGCCGCGCTGCGAAAATGACGTGTTTTTGTTTTGCTGCGTCGTTTTCGCTCTTGCAAAAATTAAAATAATTTCAATTTTGATGTATAAAAGGTTAGATTGAAAGCACAGAAGTGGTGGTGTTTCAAGTAATAATTATCAAATCCCACGTTTCCCTAGTGTTGGTCGCAGTGATCAGTCAAATCCTTCCTGTTCCGTGGTAATTTTACAGTTAGACAATAGATTTAGCTGTCACTTTGCCGCAACGCGTCAGATAATGCGGGTGGTAGATCACTCGACACACTTAATAAGTGCCATTTTCGTCTCAGTGTGCCTCAAGTGTACGGACTATATTTTAAGTGAATAATGAATATTCTGGAATCTTTGGCAACCCGGTATTTCTGACAGTTCGAATGTTTTGTATGTGGACTGTGGAACGATGAACGACTGATCGGATTGCACCCCTACACGGTAAGAAAAAAGTACCCAACGGCCAGTTCACTTTTACCTACTTTTGACTAGTTTGTCTCCTTTTCTCCTACTAATGTTGTCAAAAACAGACGAGCAAAACCACCCAACAGGGGTAGTAAAGTGTGGGAACCCAACGTTGAGTATAATCATATTTACCTACTGTTGGGTACAAGTAACTTACTTTTGGTTAAAAAGCCAGTGGAAAATTCCATACGAACTGCACACAAGTAAATGAAAATTACTTTGACCCGCTTTACCTACTTTTGGGTTCCTGCACTATAGTGCCGAGATGAGTGAAAATAACTTAATTTTGGGTACTTTTTTCTAACCGTGTACCAAATCAAATGAATTGTTTTCTGCAGAAGTGTCATTCTGGAACTCCAGCATTGTGATCTTCTGCTGTGTACCTGCGATCGTTGCCTCGACAAACAACGTTGACCCGTTTTGACTTACCACTTCCACCCCCTTTCCCAACCCAATTCGGGTTTTTCTAGCCCAGTTTCAGTTCCAGTCCCAGTCCAGTTTAGTTAGTTTGTTGAAACCATTTTATAATTCCTTGCTTATTGCTTATATCTTGTTGCTGTTTCTGAACGAATCCAATTCGGTTGGTTGAGATCAAGGGGCGAGACAGCTCCTAATCATGAGCAATTTAAGAGTTGCTTTTGAGGCACCGCGAGTAACTCACAATGTGAGCAAGATCACTGTCATTTGCTTTCTCACTTTTCGCATCACAGCAACATTTGGAGGTGTGAAGGCGAAAAGCTGTTGTCAAGCAAAACAACAACAAAAACCGGGCTTCTGGCCTGCAACTCCAGGCGAGTATGATTGCGATTCTGAAATTTCGGTACCTAAAGTTCCTTCAGTTTTCAGCTCCCGGGATCGCTCCTCGAATAGTCTCCAGATTTATTACCAAAACGTGCGTGGGCTGAGGACTAAAATCGACTCGTTTTTATTGGCTGTTGCGGAGGCTGAATATGATTTGATCGTACTGACGAAAGCGTGGCTATTCATCGCAACTATTCGGATCACGCGGTGGAGGCGTTCTGACTGTTGTCTCAACGAGACTAACCAGCTACCTAAGCACCTCGCCCATTTCCAGTCTACTGGAACAGCTCTGGATTGCCATGGAATTTCGATTGAGCTAATCAAGCTGGATTGCAGTGATGCTTCACCGACAGTGGCACATCATTCATTGACCCACTGCTTTCGCTTGCTGTGCTACTTCGGACAGATTTAATACTTCTCCGAACCGAAACGAACGTTTGCTAGATCTTGTACTGGCAAATGATCCCGCATTACCGGACACTTGTACCATAGAGGCTACTCTAAGACCAGAAGGTTCCGAAGAAACGTGTTCAACTTTTTGGCTCAGCTCTAGTACTCTCTTCGGTTCCATGTTAATCGATGCACCCCTCGAAACATAGGAAAATCCACGAACTCCTCATTTTATCTGTCATCCTATCATAGCGAATCAAAACGAACTTAGTGCAGTACTAGAATTTCGACTAGAATGGAGCACGTTAATCGATATGCTTGGGACCAATAGGCTAGTCAAGTATTGAGCCAATTTAAAATCGTTAGTTGCCATCGGTTGCTTCTACTTCTTTGCCGGTCGAGCCACAGATCTAGATGCAGACCATCCCGCTCTTGTCGTGTCGTCTAGGCTACCAACTCCGATTGTTTATACCAGCCCAGTGGCAGGCGCGTAGGCAACATGTTATACAGTGACAGCGGGCCCAGCACAGCAAAATAAAAAAAAATTGAGCCCGGGACATGCTGCCTACTGTCAAACGCTACTGTTGGTATCCAGCTTTCCATGCTCGGTAATGGCGGCCTGTTTGTATGAATAAATGTATCCTTCACTGTGCTTTTTGACACTAGCTGGATGTTCGAATTTCAACCCCTTCCCTTTCCCTCTCCCAGGAACAGAAGAAAATGTAACAACTTACGCCCTCCAGTTAGTGTCAAAAAGCACAGTGAAGGATACATTTATTCATACAAACAGGCCGCCATTACCGAGCATGGAAAGCTGGATAGGCCTTGTCACTGGCCTGGTTTATACGCCAACATCTGAGTGCTACTCTCTGAACTTTCGCCGGGCCGATTACGCTGCATTGAACAATGGCTTGCGGACATAGATTGGTAATCCGCTGGAATCGACCGCTAGTATCAATGTTGCTGTGGATTTTTTCAATACTGCTATGGAAAACGCTATTTTTGGCATTGTCGCAGTACGACGACCCCCGCAAAAGCCTCCGTGCTCGAACCACACTTAAGGCCCAAACGCAATGTGGGCGGAAACGGAACGGAAACGGAAAGTTTGACAGTTGTCACTAATGACATCAAGATGCCTAACCGAAGTCGATTTGGATCTAACTAGTTTTCAATCCGACATGTAGGCTTACTCAGATCGGGCTTTTCCGCTGCCGTTGCCGTTCCGCTTCCGTCGTCATTGCGCTTGGTTCCATTTGCTTGATTAGTTCTCGAGTTCTGCAGAAATTTCTGTTTCATTTGTATGGGAGCCCCCCCTTATAGACGGGGGAGGGGTCTCAAACCATCATAAGAACCTTCCACGGCCCCAAAAACCCCTGTATACAAATTTTCACGTCAATCGGTTCAGTAGTTTCCGAGTCTATAAGGGTCAGACAGACAGACAGAGAGACAGAAATTCATTTTTATATATATATAGATAGATTCCGTGATGTATTTTGTGAGTGTGAAGAGTCTTATGCCTCTTGGAAGAATTAGTAATTTCCATTTAATTCCACTACCTTAGCTTACCCTTGACAGATACGCGTATTTCGAGACTTCTTCAGTGTCTTTTACTAATACTCGACTGAAGAAACCATCGCAACTTACCCAATATATACTAACCTAGGTACATTTTCACTTTGCAGCTAAGTAAACTTAAATCTAATCTTCTGTAGAAGCAGATACTTCCAGTGGAGGGTCAATTTTTAGTTATTCAAGTCTAACATCCTTTCCCTACTAACAAAAACCAACGTCTCCTCAATAACTGTGCTTCGATTTTTTAGCTTCCCAGCATCATATTTTTCAACTGATGGACAAATGCATTTGAACCCAGGTTGTTATCGCCAAGGTGTTCCGTTGTGTTTGGTTTAGACCTAGACTTACATCATCATCGGTTGAAAATGCTACGCTGCTGCGGAACATGCTACCATGTGTTTCATTCTAATCAGTTGCGGAACTGACCGGTTTTTTTTTCGGGAGCAGAAAAACTTGCACGTCTAACGTGCCACCGTCCATCGGCCGGCACACGGCGTGCACGGTGTGATAACAACTCATACAAAGCCAAAACGTAAACAAAAACAAAAATATGTTTGCCATTGAGCGAGTACTCGCGGGACCCGCCCTCCTCGGTGCGATTAGGGTTATTGAACGCTGTCCTTGAGGGAAGGTACGTATGTAGGGAAAACAGGTGTAATACGCCTCCCTTAAGGAATATATATGTGGCTATATATTTAATGTTTTTTTTTCTGTGTTATTCTAAAAGATTAAAATTTAAAACTGAAAAGATAAATTTTTAACACAAGTGATTATTTTGAATGTGATCATGCATGACTACTGCCGAAGAAGTCATGGCTCGGACTAATTAAATTGCAATTTGCAAACTTTTTAAGAAATTATGATTTCATTAATTTTTGAGTGTAGAGAAATGTAGAGCTACCTCCATGGAAATACCGTTGCGGCGGTGAAACACAATCCCTTTGTTTACATCTACTATTTGCACCTTGTCGGGGGTTTGCCAAAATGACGTAAAAAATTACTTCGGAAGGATTGTTTGTGTGATTGTGCCAATCACAGACGGACATCGATTGCCATCCATTGACGGCAATTGAATTTGCAGCAAGGCAGCTTCCACACTTGCGTAGAATATCGCACTCATTCAAACACACATGGGCCGGGACCAACGGCTTTACTTCCCTTCCGAAGGAAGACGTGACCAGAGATTTGTATGCCTCAGAAAAATCCCACCGACCTCGACTGGGATTGAACCCGGACGCATTGGGGTGAGAAATCAGTCACGCTTACCACTACACTACCGGCCCTGGCGTCGGAAGGATTGTGTTATTATTATTGATTTCAGGTACTTGACATCTGTCAAACATTCACAGTAGAGTGGTCCCATTAAATACTTGGATTGCCGATCAGTTTTGCAT